CCGATAAGAATCCCAAGAGCTGTTGATCTCGACGATTTTGCATTCGCGACGGGACACTACTATGTTTCCTCGAACCTCGCGAAAGTCAAGGCGCATTGCCACACATTCCCGCGCGTTTCTTTCGTTTCTTCTCTTTTTTCTCTTTTTTTCTCCTTTTTTCTTTTTTTTTCGAAATCGTGCAACGAATAATCCGTGGAATGAATCACGGTAATTATATAAATTCAGCGTGTAAGGATCTACCGACCCAGGACCCGATCCTTCGCTGTTAAATCGAAATAAAGGAAAGAGGAAGGAAAAAATAGAGGAATAAAGAAAAAAGGAATAGATTACATCGCGTTGGATTTATCGTCAGAGGCTAGATATGGAGGCTAGAGGCTTTTTCCTTCCTTTCCATTCTTCGACGTTTCGAGTTGGGTACGTGCAGTCTGAATTTCTAAACTCGACGTTTCAGCCGGCAAACTGTTGCATAATATCGATGGTATTCTAGTTGGCTAATAAGTAGTCAGACTTGGCCTCGTTAATTAATATTTTCGTTCGGGAAAATCGGTGGATGCAGGTTTTGCTACTGATGGCTGGGAAATATTTTCCCAACGCTCGTATTATGTTCAGCAACGTCAATATCGTAGAATCCAGTCTCCTTCTCGGAATAGTCTTTCGACACGCGAATGTATAATTTAATTCATTTTATCATATCGATAGGGTAATAAAGGAGGAAAATTTTTCATATTTTCTACCTTTTCCATACTTTCACGTGTCCGATAGTCGCCTGGATATAATAATTTGCAAGAAATGCATTTACACGTAATTAAATTTCCTGTTAGATTTTTAATATGGAATTTTAATCAAGATTACCTAAATTTTTATTCAAAATTCCCTCGACCTTTAACCCTTTACACTCGATGATCTTTTTGTTACAGAAATATAGTAATTCGTGGACTTTCTGCCATAAAGTCGACGATATTTTCAAAACGGTACATAAGAAGTGCAAATTAATTGTAAAACGTAGAATTATTTTATCTCGATATTCTATACGTCGTTGGGCAATTTTAAATTCGAGATGTTAATTAATTACGATCTTTAGAATCTGATTAAATGGCAACTGAGAGTCGCCTCTCGAGTGTAAAGGGTGAAGTTGTTTCTGTGGATAGAAATGGACACCCATATATCTTCTACGTTTTTTAACAGTTAATACATTAGTATATTTAGATAAAAATATTTACATAAGGAAAAAAATTCGCAATAAACTATTTTAAACAAAAAGGAAGAAAATTCTTCTCGTGACGATATGTCACGTGTTATAATAACTTCATCGAAGTATTAAAAACTTGCGTTATTAAAATAATAAAACTACCAATGTTCGAGAAATCGATGGAACCAAAAATTTGAACACCTATAACCTGCATTCGTTCCATTAAGACTAACAAGAATCTACGTCCACTATCACGTGTCACAATAATCCCATCAGCTATTAAATATTCACACTATAGGAACAACGAAGTTGTGGATAAAAATGGACACCGATATCTTCTATGTTTTTTAGCAGTTAAAACATTATTATATTTATACAAAAAATATTTAAATAATGAAAATAACTCGCAATAAACTATTTTAAACGAAAAATTAATTGACACCTTCTAGAAAATTCTTCTCTCTCTCTCTCTCTCTCTCTCTCTCTCTCTCTCTCACTCTTATTAACCCTTTGCACTCGAGAGGCGCCCTTCAGTCGCCATTTAATAAAATTTTGAAGCTCGATATTAATTAATATATCAAATTTAAAATAATGTAACACTGTACGAGATATCGAAATTAAATAATTCTAGATGTTAATTATTATACGATTTCTTATTTACTGTTCAAAAAATATCATCAATCTAATAGCAGAAAATTTTTCTATTCGTACCCTTCTTAAGCGAAAAAATCGTCGAGCGCAAAGGGTTAAGAATTCTTCGGAGTACAAAGGGTTAACCCTTTGCAGTCGGCAGATTTCAGCAGAGCAAATTTAGCGTTTCGCAGTTACTTTCCTGTACAGGATTTAAAGTCAATATATGGATATTAAAACGCATAGAATTTGTTGAAACTCATTTAATACTATTAATAATTCGTAAAAATACTGTAGGATAGCGGAAACTGGTCTTGACACACCGAAAATTGACGAAAGAACAAGAACACAGTAACACAAACTCACAACTCGTAAACTTTTAACTTAGGAATTTTAACTTAGGAAAATTAACTTAGGAAATTTAACTTAGGAAAAGAACACCAAGATAACGAAACGAAAACACACAAAGACGCACTCTTTTTAAACTCTCTTTCCTACACCGACTCACGCTTGTGCTGGTCACAATCGATTTCTAAGGACTCTGTTCTAGTCGTCAAGACCATGCTTTTATGCTTTTCTTAACCTACGCTTCATCTCTCCGTTGGAACTAAGCAACTTAATTTTGTTAACGAAAATAATTTTTCCATTTGCTTCTAGAAAATATCGATCGGTTTACAATTTGTTTCTGTTGGCAACAGTCGATTCGCAATTTCTTTGGAAACGGTATCTGACAAAATTTTTAATTTCTCTAATTTTCTGTGGTTTTCTGTATTCTTCGACTTGAGAATGTCCCCAGTGCGGGGACATCGACTGCAAAGGGTTAAAATCGAATCTCTACATCAACAAAATTTCTATCCTCGCTTTATCATCTTACACCTCTGTTTTATCGTCTCATAGTCCATTCACAGATATAAAATCAACACTCACAGTTTCATCCAGGAATTTTCAGAAAAATTGAACATTCCAGGTCAGAAAAGCTGGCTTTGTGCTCGTTTGACATTTACACTCGTCGTAAATCACCCTTACCTCGATCCGACAACAGTATCATAGAGCTGTTACGTTAATCTCGATCTACGTTCCCCATAAAAATGACAGGGTCTTGCGGTGTATCTCATTGATCCCATAAACGGACGAATTAAACGCGCGACGGTCTTTCGCTAACGAAATAAACTGAAATTTCATCCAGGCTTACTATCGAACTCGTTCGACGAGCTCGCCAGCACCAGGACGTGCACTTTAATCCGATCGGGTAATTGTCGCGGTTTCAGAATAAAAGGTGAATGGCCTGAGACCAGCTCCAGATCTGAATATGCCTTAGACACGCGCGCATGCATAATTTTCCGCGAACCGGCGAGAAAATATCGGTTGCTCGCCGATATTCTCGCGGCAGAGATAATAAATCGACACTCAATCGCCTCCAACTCGACGTCCAAGGTGGACACATTCTCCACGGACATGGACGAAACCATGAGCACTGAAATAGAATGGAAAAACCGCCATTTGCATCCGTTTTGCAATGCAGATAAATCGCTCGCGAATCACGATAATTGCTCCCGGTCTGTCTCGCTGATTAATCGACATTTCTATGACCTTTTTATTGGATTCCTGGTAAAAAGGTTTCTCGAGAAGGATTCGTATGAGAGACGATAAGAATGTAAATTTTTTGAGAAAAATCGGGGACGATGTTGGATGAAAGATGAAATGATTCGATAGCTTCGAGGATTCAAAATTTTTTAAATTTTGTCGATTTATTTCATGCGATTACAAAGAATAGTAAAAGTAAATTGGTGGTAATAGTGGAAGATTGAGGAACTAGATACCTTTGATCATTCGAATTAGCACGTTGCTAGAGTACCTTGAGTAGCTATGTAGCTGCTATTTGTCTAGCTGTCTGGCTCTGCGCGTGTTCCTGCTAATAAGGTTGAAATTACTCCAAATGATTCTTAATTTCTAGATCTAAATATCTATATAAATCGTTGGTTACTTTGATAATTGCGATTATAAACAGAAGCTCCATTAAACTGAAAGTTAGCTGAAACTTCTATTTGTCTATATTTTAGATTTGAAGATTAAGAAAATACAGTGCACTCGTATTCGGTAAAATAGTAATTTTAATTAAAAATAGAAAAATAAGGAATTATAATACAATTATAGTCCCATGTCTGGAACCATGGTCAAAAATAACGTTGGACCCGTTTCGTCCGATTGCAAGGAAGAATAATGGGGGACTGATCGTCAGTTAGAGTCAAGAAAGAATAAACGCTTGGTCCATTATAGCCCTCAACTGTTTTATATCGATTCCAAACGTATGGGAGATGCTTTAACTCTTTGCAGCACAGGATTTCAGATAATAAAATAGATTCATATTACATAGAAATTAATTCCAGCGTGCCCCAAAGAATTAAGACCAAAGTGACAATGTATAACGTTGTCTTTCAACAATCTACATAGCTGTCTGTCTCAGTAGAATTGAGAATTCCTGACAATAAGAATAAAATTACAGTCAGCTGCATACGAATGCGTCCACCTATCACAGTCGGTGTATGTACAGAGAAAATATTAATAAAGATTATTTTCTATATTGTTTATTTTAATTTTACGCGTACCTTTACTTTCTTTTCTTTATATATACGCCGACAGAGATAGATGGACGAATACTTATGCGACCGACTGTACTTCAAATTTCCTTAACTCCCCTTGACCTAAAACCCTTAGATCTAATCCTCTATTAAATCACCAATTACCTAAATAACCAACTGAAAACAAACCCTGTCAAGTACATCACCAAACCCTTCTATCGATCTAAGATTATCGATAATAAAAACGAATTTACCCCAAAAATTTGGGTCCAAATTAAAAAGCTAGCTATCAATCCTAACTATTGAATTAATTCTCCGAGTACCTTCACAATTATCAAACCAATCGCGAAGGGAAATTGCAACAACCCCTCAGCTGCGGTCCACTAAATCCCCTAGTCTGATTCCCAGAACGTTTCCAGCAACCACCGAGCGAAAAAGTCAGCCGAGGACGATCACGAATGCAGGGTGAAACAAAGTGATTCCTTGACAGATAGATCACGGATCTACAAGCGATCCCGCCCGGCTGAATATTCCGGCGCGATCGGTTGGCGATACAAGCCCGATGGCAGGGGTAGATAATCTTCGCTATTACAATGTTGCAGATCCGTGATAGGGCGGACACGATCCGCGATAATCGGGCTCTTGCTGCTACTGGCGACCTGGCGAAACAACGATAGCTGCGACGGCCTGCAATATCAGCCGGTCGAGGTTTATGCAAACGGCGATGACTGCGCGCTGATCCTGAACGGGCCGGGAAGGACGAGCGTCTTCGACTACACCTACAACTTGCTGCGTGGCTCCTTGTAAGTGATGCTAATACCGGCGTAAATCCGTGTTCACCGGGGCCCAGGTTGCAGGCCCCTGTTCGAGCATCGGCCGCTTCATCCGCAGCGAAAACGTGTTACAAAGTGAAGCGGATCGCCTCGAGCGAGGATTCTTTCGCTGTTGATTTATCGAGCGCTGCTCTCGCTACGTATCTATATTAGCTCGTTACGACACGCTACCTAGAGGGTACAGCGTTTACCGCGATGGGCGGATTGTTTCCTCGTCTCTGCGAGGATTATGTTGTTCGCGGCAGATTAAACGCGGCCGAATCCGAAGATAGAGATAGACGTTGGAACCTCGATTATCCGGATTAATTGGGAGACGAGAGGTTTCGAAACAGAAGGACGCGGATATTGTACGTGTGCAATAACAGTGGTAATGGATATTAAATTTAAATCTGATTTAGACAAAGATCTACGAATTTTTAATTTTCTTAGCTACTAAATCGCATTTTATATTCTTGTCGCCGCCATTTTTGAAACCATTCCGGAAATACTTCGAAATTTCGGTGTATATTATTATCATTATTATATTAATTATCGATTTCAATCACAAATTTGACGCGTACGAACCCCTTCGAATTGAAACGTTTACATACAAGTATTCGGATAATACAAGTTTCGAATGACAAACTGTCGAGATAACGAAGGATTTGAATAAGGCGTGAATAATGGATCTTCCACCGCGTTATTACTTACAACAGGACCGAAATCGGATTAAAGAACGAATAATTCCCGACAGCGGTTGGGACTTTCGAACGTGGTTCGAAGATCTCGAAAGAATAATTGCAGCGTAATAACTGCGGGATCGCAAACACCATAAATCAGATATCCAGACACTTTCATAAACGTCTGTCTAACGAAGATTTAAACATCGAGATAGCGAATCGATCTCGGCTCGAAGGAAATTTACGTAGAATCGAAAGAAGAGCGAAACAACGGGGCGAGTTCTAAGCCCGAGGCGTACCCCCGCCATATCGTAATATTGCAATTATCGCACGTTCTCCGCTCTATTACCATCTTAATTGCAAGTCGATATTAAATTCACCAATCTGTCGATACGGAGATAATGATCGCCGCTGGTTAACTCGTTGTTTCGCGATATTTTCACCTCGCGATCTTTCAACCCGATCACCGGCCATGTTCCACATAAAAGGCACGTTCAGCGTGTAATTATATCTCTCGGACGTTTCACGTGGATACAGCCTGGCCGAATTAAGGATCTTACGTAACAACGGTAAGACCTCTACCGACATTTTCGAGGTCCGGAGAAAGCAGAGACTGTGATCGGATTCGGTCGTAGAACTTTCACCGGACATCTAACCTTTGTTCCCGAGGGATAATCATCGACCGTGATCACTAGACCCATCGAATTAGCTTTCTCGCGAGCTGGCTCCCGCATTTTTGCGATATTTTTATAAACGATGGAAACCATGATATTTTACGGTGGTACGAGATTCGAGGACCGTGTATTGTCACACCTCTGAGTTTCGAGAATTCTTGATAACACGTTCCTAAGTTTCACCGGACATCTAACCTTTGTTCCCGAGGAATAATAATCGACCGTGATCACTAGATCCATCGAATTAGCTTTCTCGCGAGCTGACTCCCGCATTTTTGCGATATTTCTATAAACGATGGAAACCATGGGATTTTACGGTGGTACGAGATTCGACGACCGTGTATTGTCACACCTCTGGGTTCCGAAAATTTTTGAAGCACGACTGTTCGAGGAGTCTAGCATACTTTTATCGTGGAAAATTTTTTAATAATACGTTTCTATGTTTCACCGGACATCTAACCTTTGTTCCCGAGGAATAATAATCGACCGTAATTACTAGATCTATCGAATTAGTTTTCTCTCGAGCTGACTCCTGCATTTTTGCGATATTTTACGGTGGTACGAGATTCGAGGACCCTTTATTGCCACACCTCTGAGTTTCGAGGATTCTTGAAACACGATTGTTCGAGATGTCCAAAATATCTTTACCGTGGAAAAATTTTTGATAATACATACCAAAGTATGCATAGACAATTATTAAAGTAGCACGATGAAAGTAAGTGGATACAGGCTGTCGGCATTTTTAATAAAGCAAATACACGTGATTAACTTGACACGATTTGACTTGACCTAAGAAACCAGTCATTCCGACTGGTTTATTCTAATCGAGGTCTCCCAGAGAATGAAAACTTTGCTCATAAACGATCCATCGAGAGAACAACGCGTTTATCCGATACATAGGCCCAAGCTTATCCGAGTCTTCGATGAAACTCGCGGGTTACGGTACTTTTAATCGTATCACGCGTAATTTACACGGGACATTGAACGGCCAATCATAATAATTTATCACGGAAGAATAAAAGTTCAGTCCTCCGACGCCTGGTCGTGAGAACGAGTAACGAGAGCGCACCGTTACATGCCGCGGAAAACCTGATCTCCTTTTGTTTATCAGCGCGGATAAGACAATGGAGGACTGTTGCAACTGCTGGCTACAGAACCTTGAAACGAAACGTGGTGTCACGACGTTTCTTGGCATTTCGAGAAACTCGGGAAGGATGGAAATGGCGGATGGCTCCGGGGAGGAAGAGACAGCTAGGAAATAGACGATGGTGTAGATGAACTTCACGCGTGATTCACGATAATTACAGGGGAACTCCTCTATTTCCCGGCAGAAATGCAACGATCAAAGATCGATGAATTATTAATAGCAGGTCGATAACAAGGAGACAGCGTTGGCTGATCAGCCTCGTAGCTACTGCCTCTTATTACAATACAAAGCCTGATCATGGAGATCTAAGCAGGTCTGTAAGACTGGTTCGAGATGGCCAATGAAATCGCGACGTGCTTATTTTCGTCTTCGTCTGCTGTCTAAATCGTGATCTTTTTCTCTCTCGTGTGTGTGTATGTGCAGATGCAAATGCGTTACGTAATCAAAATCGTGCAACATGTGGATATGTAACTGTTTGTAAATAGCCTGGATGTTTCAAGACACGATGGCAAATTATGACCTATCAATCGATGATAATCGAGATTGCGTGAATCATGATGGAACAGCTACGAAGATCGATCATTAAAGTCTAGGAAATGTTTTTAAATTCCACGATTATATTTGCTAAATCTCTAACAACGCATCATCGCGATTATACCTGTAGAACACGTCGTGGGATCCTGCATATCCTGAGAGTTCTCACCGAGAATGCAAATGGATACGGGTCTCCTTTTACGTGAAATGTTTTATTTACTTTTCACACGTTACTCGCATTTTCCTTCCTTTAACAGTAATTCTTGGCACACCAATTGGCAAACTTCAGGGCAAAGCAATTTTCAAACGAGTCGCAGATATATCGAGTCGCAAATCGTATCCAGACGATTGCAACGTCCTTTTGCAAGGAGAGGAGAAGAGAGGGCTACGTCAGTCCCTGGACACTGATAGAGAACTTTCGTTTGGGCCGCGTGGATTCTAGGTACTGACAGCGAACTTTTCGTTTGGTCGACATCGGTGCGTGAGACCGGCATTGACAAGGGTTAAATTATTAATGACTGTAGGAGGCGGGTGTATCTAGGTCTTCGTAGATACCTCAGTCCCAATATTCCGTCTCCAAGGGAGAGGTTGGCTAAGTGCGGTGGTGTTCTCTTTGTGCGGCTTGATGATGGACTGTTGTTCCCGTAGTGCTGGCCCGGTGGTATCCCCGTGGTCGTCGTTGCTATAGATGGGGTCTTATGGGTAATCGGAGCTCGCATACTCTTACAATTGCAACTTCCTTTCTCGCGAATCCGAATATGGAATTGAAAAACAGAGCAATTGCCGAAGATCCTGTCAAAGACTGAGCAACTCGACTAACTTGTTTCTAAAAATAGCCTTCCATAGCGACATTAGTCGATTTTTTCCTAAAATAAGACACTGCATCGGTAATAATTGACCCTCTTCGATTTATTTTTCAAAAAATAGCATCTCAAAATGGAGACTAGACCTGAAGGGATATCGTGAGGGATTAGCACCGTGTCGGATTTTGTCAGAGTCTACTGTGCACGAAGGGAGTTGTGCCGAGAAAATCGTACTGCTCTTAAGAAAATGGTCCAAATCGCATTCTAATTGTCAATGAACTGGCTGCAATTTTCCCAGCCCTGACCCACGCGTCCTGGTTCACTAGTCATGGAGAAACAGTCGTAAAAGCGTAAACCAGGCCCTCATTGACTCGAGACCACTGATGTCGCTACAACTGGAAAAATGTCTTCCTTCTTCGCCAATAGGGATATATCCTTGCAGACCCATCGATAGAACTCGCGTCTGCTGCCAACGTAACAACGTAACAACAACGTACAAATAGTTTCGGAATTCCAGTCAGTCCAGAGAACACCTTGCTCAACGCGGGGTCGATTTATTAATCCCATTTCTGGAGGAAGATTCACGGGCCGGCGTTTGGCGGCGACAAAGCATGACTCTGTCAGTTCTAACGAGGCATAATGCGATTGCATCGTTTCCCCGCAATTACGAGATCCGAACTGCCTACGCGTGCCTGTGCGCTCATGAGCGCAGTTACTGCACGTTAACGCGAGCGAACGTGAGTGCCCGTCGTCGGCGGCTCGCGCAGTCACGATTAAATCTTATCGCGGCCGACCGCTAATAAAACACGACGGATCTGCTCGGATAAAAGGAAGCAACGATCCGCGAATTCATCATACCCGATGACCTAACGGGGATAATTAGAAAGCTGCTGGCAATCACGCGATCTGATAACGATGCGGAGGAAAATTTGGCGCGATGACTTCGAGTTACTTTTCATTTTTCTTCGGAAATTCTGCTGAGTTGGTGTACTTCTGCTCTGGATGTAGACGATGCGAGATATTTGGGTATTACTTGTTGCAGACTTTTGTTGTGTACACCAAAAAGTGGGAAATGATATGCTATGACAGCAGTGTACACGCTAAAGTGGAAATTATGCGAAATATTTCGAGTAATTGAATTATAATACATAGA